AAGTTGTACGTATTATTTATTTGCTTATATGTTGTAATCAATTAACTGTACTTAATTTATTAAATTAATTGTATTAAAGACAGAACTTTACAGCTGTTAGCGGCCTTATGTAGCACGTTTTGTTATTTCTGCTTTATTTCAGCTACGGTCACACTGTTTGCCAGAGCGAGTAGTATCGCTTTGAAAAACTACTTGTTGCTGCCATAGCAACGGCTAAAAAGCGTAAACAAAAGGCGAAAAAAATTTCAGGTTCTGCAAAATGCAGCACAAGTGCAATAATATTATAAAAAAAACATGAATTTGTAGTAGTTTAATGCTAAAAATGTCGTTTGAGAAGATATTGTACAAATACGATGAGCCGCACGGCATCGGCGACGTGTACTTCATTTGGCAGAAGAGCGCGGGAGCTTTGCTGGCGACAACGGGCACCGACGGCTCCGTGGCGTTGTACAATCGCCAGGGCCAACTTGTGCAGCGCATCATATTGGCCGGGTAATCACGGAGTACTGCCTTTAGGCCCATTTAAATAACCAATGCATATTTCAGTTTGTGCTCTGGTTTTGCCTGGGATTGCGAGGGTGACCTGTTAGGCATCATCACCAGCACATCGCCGAATATAACGCTCTGGGATTATGCAACACAGCAGAAACTGACGGTAGAATCGGGACTACGTGATCCGCTCACATGCATACTGTGGTCCAAGCAGCAGCAACTGCTCGCTGTGGGCACAGGTCGCGGTAATTTGGCCATCTACAATCATCGCAGCGGCAAGCGTACCCCGGTGCTGGGCAAGCACAACAAGCGGATTACATGCGGCGCCTGGTCGGCACAAAATCTGCTTGCTCTGGGCTCCGATGACAAGAGTTTCTCGCTGAGCAGCGAGGATGGCGACACGGTGCGCATTGTCCAGCTGCGTGATGCGCCCACGGACATGTATTTTGCGGAAATGGCGAATGATGAACGCATCGCGGGTGACAATGCCCTAAGCATGATTATTGGCAAGCGTACGCTGTTCTTGTACTATCTGCCGGAGCCGGAGAATCCTACAGAGCTGGGCTTTCAGAGCCGGTATGGTTCGCTATTGCAGCACAAATGGTTCGGCGATGGCTATATACTGTTGGGCTTTTCGAATGGTCATGTGGTGGCCATTTCTACGCATCCCAAAGACGTGGGCCAAGAGCTGTGGCAGGTAAGAAATCACAAGGAAACTCTAACCGGTTTGGCCTACTGCCCATCGCTGGACATTGTCGCCTCCTGCGGGGATGACAGGTTAGTACACCCCCACAGCTATGTACCGTGTTTTCTATTGACACCTCTCTCCAACATGCAGCATTAAAATCCACTCGATAACCAATCTGCAGGAAACGGAACGCATCATCACAGTGCCGGATCGCGCGAGTGTGCAAATGATTGACTGGTCGCCGGACGGGCAACTGCTGGCGGTCACCACCAGCGGCGGCACCGTTTACACTTATGTGACCAAGCTGCCGCACTTGTTTGCCGTCTCCGCGCCACGCCTCGTCATGCTGAGCAGCCTGGCCGAGGTTTCTATATATGTTTATGCGCCCGACAAATCCAAATCATTGCCATTTCGCCTGCCACTGGAAACGGAGCCGACGTTTTTAGCCATTGGTCCCTATAATTTTGCTGCTGGTCTGGACAAGCACGTCTGGTTCTATGATCTGGGCAAGAGCCTGGGTGATGAGCCGCGTCCGCTCAGTGAGCGCGATTTGCCGCATGACATTGCAGCCATGAAACTGAATGCGGATTACTGCGCCGCACTGTGCCCGCCCCAGCTAATACTTCAGGCCATAGCCGCAGACAATCCTAACTGCAAGGACAAGCTGCAGGCGTGCTTTCCCAGCGCGCTGCCAACCATGCCCAGCGATGCAGTCATCACGTGCTTTGCCCTTAGCCAGGAACTGCTCATCTTTGCCACGGATGTGCATATGTTGAAAACATTGTTTGGCTGTGGTATTTATTTTTATTTCTCTTGCAGATTGGCCACCTGGTCTTCTACTCGCTGGAAAAGTGGGACACCTGCACCATCTACCGCCACAGCAATGGCATACGTCAGCTTTTCACAGACGTCGAGGGCACCAAAACAATTTTCATAGATGAACATGGACAGGGCTTTGTCTATCTGCCCGCCTTAGATCAGGAGGCGCTGTTGATTGCGGATCTGCCCAAGCAATGCGTGGGCTGTCTGTGGGACTTAACGCAGTCAAACATCTTTATAAGCTATGATTCACGTATGGCTTATACTCATGTCTTTGCGCGTCACTCGGTGCGTGGCAGACACACACAGAAGCTGGGTGAAACGAAGCTTAATCCGGGCCAGATGCCGCTGTTGGTGTGCGCTGGCGAAATGGCGTTGCACATCGATGGTGGTCAGTATGCGACACAATCCCTGAGCACACATGTTATCAATCCCAGCAACAGTCAGTCGGATAATCTGCTGCTGCTGCTGCGGCTCAAGAAATACGACGAGGCCTACAAGCTGTGCGAGCAGATGCAATTGGACAGTGCCTGGCGACAGTTTGGCGAGCATGCAATAGCGGATCTGGAGCCGGAAATCGGTATGCAACAGATACTAGAATACAGCTCGTTCCTTTATCTGCGCGCTTGCTTAAGATTCAATTTATTGATACCTCGCGCCCTTAAACAGCTCTCCGCGCCTATCGCCAACTGGGTGATGCTGCGCTGGTCAAGGCGCTGGACGAGCTGCGTTACATAGAGGATCTGCACATGCTGAGCGGCTGCTGTTGCATGCTGCTGGCTCAGTACGATCAGGCCAAGGAGTATTTGCTGAAGGGCGTTTACACACGCGCTGCACTGGATCTCAGCCGTGATCTGCTGCAGTGGGATCAGGCGCTGCTGTTGGCGCACAAATATGAGCCGCTCGAGGTGCCCTTCATAGCGCGAGAGTACGCACAGCAGCTGGAGTTCACGTGAGTGCCACCAATTAGATTCGAGATTTAATTAAAACTAATTTTGTTTCGTCTAGTGGCAACTATGCGGATGCTTTGTATCACTATGAGAAGGGCTACAAGGAGGACTTGATAAACAATGAGGATACGGAACCGCCAACGCTGCTGCACAGCACGCCCGAATACGAGGAGCATGTGCGTCTGTGTAAAATGGGGATTGCGCGCACCTCCATACGCGCAGGCGATTTCCGACGTGGTGTAAGAGCTGTTGTGTCTTCGTTAGCCCCATTCCCAATATTTACTTTTTTTTACTATTTGCAGATTCAATACGCTGTGGAGCTGCAGGACAAGCAGTTGCTCTTCGACTGCGCCGAGCTGCTGGCCACTGTGGGTCATATTACCGAGGCGGCGGGTCTGTACGAACGCGGCGGCTACTATGATGAGGCCTGCGGGCATTATATAGCTCTTAAGATGTGGCACAAGGCCAACAACATTTTGGGCCACGTGAAGAGCAGCAAACTGCATGCGGCCTATGCCAAGGCAAAGGAATCGGATGGTCATTTCGAGGAGGCCATACGCAGCTATCGCATAGCCGGCGATTTAGATGCCTGCGTCAGAATCTATCTGGATCATCTGTGCGATCCACATGCCGCCTCCGAAATTGTGCTGGAATCACGCTCCATGGATGCGGCCAAACTGCTGGCCAAGTTCTATCAGAAAATTAATGATATTGAGCAAGCGCTGCAGTTTCTTGTCATCTGCGGCTGTGTGGAGGAGGCTTTCGCCTTGGCCCAACGTCACAATAAGCTGCGACGTCATGGCGAACTCCTGGAACGCTACGAGAATGCCAAATCGGCAGACTATCTGGCGCTGGCGCATTACTTTGAGAGCGAGAAGTATACGCTGCTGGCGGGCAAATATTACTTTTTGGCCAGGGAGTTTACCAAGGCGTTGCGCTTTTTGCTGAAAGCCTCCGCCTTCAGTAATGAGGAGTCGCAGGCGCTTTCGCTGGCCATTGACTGTGTGGCCACCTCCAACAATGAGCAGCTGGCCACGCAGTTAATTGAGTTTCTGCTGGGCGAATCGGATGGCGTGCCGAAGGATCCGCGTTATTTATTCCGCTTGTATATGGCGCGCAAGCATTACAAGGACGCGGCCAAGACAGCTGTCATTATAGCCAATCAGGAGCAACTGGCCGGCAACTACAAGTCTGCACGAGATTTGCTTTACTCCATGTACCAGGAGCTGCGACGCAATAATCTGTCGGTCACTGCCGAAATGCGCCACAACCTGATACTGCTGCATCGCTATACGCTGGTGCGCATCCACGTCAAGCTGGGCAATCATCTGCTAGCCGCCAAACTTCTGGTGCAGGTGGCCGCTTGCATATCACAGTTTCCGGAGCGTGAGTAATCAACACATTATAACCATAAAAAAGTTGCTAACTCTTCAATTCCCACCCAGACATTGTGCCCATACTCACATCTACAGTGATTGAATGCCATCGCGCAGGCCTCAAGAAGTCCGCCTTTATGTATGCCTCCACGCTGATGCGTCCGGACTATCGCAATCAACTGGACACTCGTTACATCAAGAAGATCGAATCGATTGTGCGCAAAGCGCCCAAGGGCGTAAAGCAGCTGCGCGATGAAATCGACGACGAGACTATGGAATGTCCCATATGCGATGCCAATTTGGCCAACATGGAGGTCACCTGCTACAGCTGCAAGACCACGCTGCCCATCTGCATAGCAACGGGCCAGCACGTAATCAAGCAACAAATGACATCGTGTCCGCAGTGCGATTTTCTTTGCTTTCGCGCCGAAATGGAGAAGTGGGTGCACATTTTATCTTTTACGTTTTTATAATATACAAATATGATTTACACACTATGATTACAGCATACTCTCGGAGAATGGCGACTGTCCCATGTGTGGAGAGCGCGTGGCGCCTGAGCAGCTGCTCGATGTGGAGGATATACGCCCCTATATCTTGGCCGCCTCCTAGACTCAATACTTTAGTACTTAAGCAAACTAATAGACTGCACTGAACAACACCAAAAAGTATTTATAAGTTATTTAGAGCATTTTATACATGATGCCTGACACCAATTACACTGATACAGAAAACATAAGCGATTCTTATTGCAATTCGTAAGTTTACAATGTTTTGCCAAAGCGACTTGGCTGAGGGATCGGAGCATCACAGTTTCTTTCCAAATATCCACAAGGCTAACCTTTCCAGAATCTTCAGTTTACTAGAAGAGATGATGAGAATACAGTTTAAGATACATGAAATATCCAATAGTACTCACTCTTTTTCTGGCACAGATCCTATTGAAAAGTCCAACGTAGAAAAACCTTCCTTATAGTCACAGCCACTCCCAAGGACATTAACTTAAAGCCCTCGAAATGCTGTTCCAAAATTTCATTTATTTCTAGAAAAACCATGAAATGAATTTAACAAAAACAGTAACAATTTGCATATTGCTGATAAAGTATTACTTTTTCAACTGCACGGCGAATTTGGTGGCTTGAATATCACATTCGGGCAGACTTGATTTGAGGCTGCGCGCCACTTCTTCCATATTCTTGACGTAGATCATATCAAAGATGAGCAACTGCTTCAGATTGTGCAGCTCGCTGATGATGGCCAAGCCCGAGTCGCTGATGTTATAACAGCCGGACACCTGCAGACGTGTCAGCGACTTGCTAATATGGGACAGCCCGTTCAGACCCTCATTCTCCAGGTGCTTACAATTGTGAAAGATGACCGTGTCTATGTGGTCGCAGCCTTTCAAATGTTCGAGCCCAATTTTCATGACCGAAGCATTTGAGGCATCTACAACTTTAATGCGAAACGCAGTGTTCTCCGACGGCAGCTGATTGTAGTCCTTCCATAGTTTGGTTGGACTCTCTGTAAAGCGTACGCCGCCACCGTTTTTTACCACCCACTCGGCGCAGAGCCGATTCGGACCCACTTTTGCCAAACGATCTGCGTCCACCTGGTTGAAGGCCACAGCCACATAGCCCCAAATACTGCGCGTTGGTGTTGCAAATGTTCGGGAGTCTGCATGATGGGGTTTGGCGGCGATACGCAAATAATTTTGCTGAACGCCAGCGCCTTGCAATATTAAACGTTTAGATAATGATTTAATAACTGTGTGTAACAACGACATTGCTAAAAACAAAACAGCTGTTTTGATTCAGCTCGCAGCTATGTGCGTTATACAGCACTGTTGTCGCAACGAACGAGTGGGCAACAAATTAATGTTGGCATTAATTTAAAACGCCTTTAACGGTTGTTATTCCCATCGAAACTTTATCCATTTTTAAATTTGGTTGAAAAACAATTTTTTTACAAATAAATTTGATTAATATTTTATAAATGACATATTTTTGAATTTACCAGCACTGGTTCGGCAGCCCTGATTTTGGCCGCAGCGCAGCTGAACAAATACACTCAACTTATCGATATAATATTTACAATCAGTTCTCGTTCAGTTGTCAAAGCGTAAGGTTGTCGCGTTGCGCGTAAATGTTTGCGTTTCTCTACGCTTAATTAATCGAAAACAAAAGCGCGTGTGTGTTGCCAATCAATACAAAACTAAACAGAAACACAAAATAATGCAATGCATGTGAACAGCATATGTGTGATAACACATAATAATCATAACGCGCTGCATTTTAGCAGGCAACAAAATTCTAATAGTGCAAGTGAGAACTCTACAGAGAGATAGAAAGAGAGAAAGACCAAGAGCGCCTGCGAGAGCGAGCATAAAATCACAGTCACAGCAGCAATAACAAAAATAAATACATACACACACACATATATGGTACGTACATAGTTTTTTAAGGCAGTTTAACTTTTACATCGCTTTGTTTTGTTACGCATTTGGCGGCAACAATCAAAACAATCATACGAAAAACCAAATTCAATCTTGATAGGCATAACATGCAGCATACATACATACAGTATGCACATACAAACACACGCATATGCGAGGCGCGCATTAAATAAAAATAAGTTCTGCCGCTGCGTTTCGTTTATTTTGTTTGTGTCTGTATGAGTTTGTGTTTGTGCGTTGTGTCGGTGTCAGTGACGTTGCGTCGCAGTCGCTGTCGCTGCCGCCGACGCTGTCCCGCTGCTTGCGCGCGCGTCAGCATCGAACGTGTTAAAGTGACGAATAAATAACACAGAATCGTTCACTAGAAAAGATACGACAAATAGACAGACAGACCGACAGCCAAACATTTGTACATTTCTTTCACACAAACACACACATACACACAGCTGAAACACACACACACACACACGCTGTGTCTTTATGGCCGCAGCAGACATTTTGGCTGCTCCGTTCGCGCAATTTGTTTATATGAGTGCAGCCGCAGCCCCCCCCCACGCCACACTAACAACACCGCTTGCTAGGTGTGTAAATTCCCTACCGCACCCCACCTCCCACACCCCCCATTGCCACACGTCTCAGCCAGCAGTTTTCATTCACGCTAATTTTGCCTTCACTTCTATTTTTATACCCATTTTAAATGTCCAATAAAGGGTATATTGCATTTGTGCATCGTCGAGCCCATAAAGTATAGTATCGATTTCTATTCCCCATCTTTGAGCATGTCTTACTGATTATAAGAGCTGGACACACTTAATTAAACTATGCGATTCCTTAAGAATGAATTTGTCATAGCTTAAACTATTCATTTATGTATTTATAATGTATATTGCGCGCATAGGGCATCTCACAGTCGAGCTCTTTCGCCTGAAGCACTCTTACTTGTTTTCTACTTCCACTTTTTTTTTTTTGTCTACTCCTGAGGCACCCAACTGTGTGTGCTCGCGCGCGCGTGTGTGTGTGTGTGCCAAGATGAAGAATGATATGCAGCAATGTTAGATGATAAATAGCGCGCTATATTAAATGATTTATTTTGCCTGCCTGTCTGCCTGCCTGCCTGCCCTCCCCTTTGCCCTCTGCACCCGCCCGGCTCTGGCCCCAGGTTCATTGTGCCCGTTTCTCGCTTTGCATCTCTTGACCGTAGCTAAAGGCATCCATCTATGGGCTAATGCTAATGCCTATGCTGCCTTTCAATCTGTATCTGTTGTTGTTGTTGTTGTTGTTGTTCTCGTTGTTGTTGTTGCTGCGGCTCTGGTAATTGAACAACCAATTGTACAAATCCGCGGTACAGTCACAACTTGCGCCTTTATTCAGTTTAATAAAAGCGCACAATCTGAAAGTTCAAGAAATCTTTTCTATAGCTTCTCTCATTCCATTTATCCGAAAGCAAAACGAATCTTGTACAAAAAAAAAAAAAAAACAAATAAATAAAATAAAATTGAGTTAAATAAAATTGGGGATTATAACTGCATAAAGGCCTTGCTATGGAATACATTACATGAAATTTAAAATTTTTATTTGAATACCAAGACGAATAGGAATAGGCTGGAATCTACAACCTAATTGAAGGCAATATTCTGGCCTACACCTATGATAGAATTTTCATTTTAAACTACAAAGATTTGAATATAAGAAATGTATCAGAAATTTTGAATAAGAACTTCTCAAATTTAGAGTAAGAAAACATGTTTTAACCCTATCAATCCTGACATTAAAAAAAAACAATGATTTTATGTTTTCAAGCCCATAAGTTTATTGTTTTTAGAAGAAATTTGATTTTTCCCAATTGCATTCTATAAATGTAGTAATATTATCCTTCTCAACACTTAGAAACAGTTCAGAATGCACATAAGCTCTTCTCAACACTTGAAAACAGTTCAGACGCGTTTGAAAATTCATTTTTGCCTTGCCAATATTGTGGCATTCATTTAGAAACCTCTTAATGCTGTTCCAAACTATTCACATATTCAAAGCCATATCTAGCTTACACTTTTAATACATCAATCAATCCTGACAAAGAGTTTTGGAACGATCAAGTTTTTTGAGCAATGAATTATTTTAAAAAAAGATGCTATAAAAAGATTCTTAAGCCCGTAAGAGAAGAGAATTGATTTTTATGAAATGCATTAGTAAAATGTGCTAATATGATATGTGAAATGTGCTAATATGATTTACATATGATTTGTTAAGCACTTCTCAACACTTAGAAACAGTTCAGAATGCAGTTGAGCGCTTCTCAATACTTTGAAACAGTTCAGAGTGAACAAATGCTCTTTGCGAATTTCTTTTTGCCTCGTCAGCATTTTGGGATTCACTTGTCAAACTTATATATCCAGGGCTATGTCCGGATTGCAGTTATTATAAATCGTTAGATTAATCAATTGAAATGCCATTCGCCTGTTGACTCAATTATTTCGTTTATTGTTGCGGATTTCATTTCGCCTCGCCACTAATCGCATATCATTTCCACAGCATTTCCACTGGCTCTAATCATTTGCCATGGTCGTAGCAAAGGGGGAGCGGGGGGCTGTAGAGAGCAAGAGATTGGAAAAAACATGAAAACAATTTCTAAAAAATGTGTTTTTTTTTATGGGCCATTTATGCGGCTTGTGTTTTGTTTTTGCCATTTGCCATTTATTTTTTGTTTTTGTATTTTAGTTTATTTTTTTTTTCAAATTAGTTATAATTACACTTAATGCAATTTAGTTATGAGGCTGTGTTGTTGTTTTTTTTTTTATTTCCACTGTTCGTGCTGCTTTTATTTTTTTTTGCTGTTTCTTTCTCTTCGGGGGGTTTTTCACGATTTGTGTAAGTTGCATTTGTTGTTGTTGCATTTGAAGCTTTAGAAAAAAAACGTTTTTGTTACAAGGGCTTGCCATATGTGTGCACATATATGCTAGTGCGGGGAGAGAGAGGGGACGGGGCCTTGGCATTTCTATTGAGCACACGAGAGAGGTGTTAATGCATTCTGTATTTGTAGATTTCAGTTGGTCCGATAAGTTTAACCGCATTCTGAGTACCTGCTGTATGCCATATACATATATTCTTCCACTTCATCTTATTGTTTAATGCATATTGTTTGCGCTCAGCCAAGATTCGTAATGTGCTAAAATATTTATGAATTAGCGAGAAAGCCACGTTTCAGTTATTCAGATTGCTTAACTAACAATCGTGTCGGCAGAACTGGGCAAATAACTGGCGGGAGATGAAAACTCATAGACACGATGCTATGTACGGGTATTTTTTCAAATTGAATAAGACTAAAAATTACTTTTAGAAGATAGTGGAAAAATACTATTCATATATATATATGTATAAGGCTTATCCAGGAATTAAAAAATGACACAAGAAAGCAAATAAGAGTAGATTTCCAAGATGAAATATTCCAACAAAAGCAAATGTGCAATATTTTCAATCAAAAAACTGTATTTCCCACAGATTCTTGGATTTTAAAGAAAACCGATATTTCCCACAGACTCTTGCAATACTGAGAGCTATATGATATAAAAGTTCTGGGTATATATGATCTATAATGAGATTTGGAGACATAAACATACAATTTCTATATTTTGACCATTATTTCCTATGGTAAAAATATAATATAGTGTGTCGATCCGGATGATATAGTAGATGTGATATTATATATAGATGATTTATTATATATATAGTAGATTTGAATTTGGAAGCATAAATTACCAAATGAAACAGTAGTTCATATAAAAATCTTTATTTACTATATGATATAGATTATCTGTTTATATAGATAATAAACTAGATCTGCTATTACCTGCGCTTATTGCCCTTATTGTTAGCTACATGATATAGTGTACTGACCCGTCAGCCTTTAATATATGCAAAAGCTTCAATATCTCTGCAAACAAAAGGCTAATGCTTAGTTTTATGAGCACAGCTTCAGAACTGAACGAAAACAGACGAACAGAATTGTGGACATTGATCAGGCACATATATTACTTATAAGATCGGATTAGTCTTTCTTAATATGTTCGATATTTCATGACCAACTCATGATATCCTATGCAAATGTCTAATAAGAATATATGACTCATATTGTGCGCAATTTATGGCTCTCGCATCTTTAAGAGGATTAAATATGATTTATCGTTTCCTTCTTAAGAAGGGCTAGACAGCTAGAGAGAGTTAGAGGATTGCCAAAGGAGATGGGCACCGGCTCTAGTCATCTTTTATTATATGAACAGCTTCATAAAGCATGAAATGTTGACCTTATTGTTGATCATTAACATTATAACTATGATTATGGATGCAATTAGTGTGAAACTCTGCTAGTTTTTCAATGTAAGCCATTTTCCATATCATTTAACTTGACTTGCTTTTTTGATTCGAGCATTTTTCCAGCTAAACGCGAGTTAGTCTGCGGCTGCGGCTGCGACTGCTCGTATATTATCTTAGGGAGGGTATTTGGTGTGAGAGGGAGGTGGATGGGGGAGGAGGGCA